TGGCTACCTCAGAGACCATGTTATTGTGGACCATGTAAATATCGTCTCCTGATGTCATACATATAGCATAAAAAGTTAGCTCTGTTGACAAAAAAATATAATCTGTCTGCAAAACATGTTCAGTATTAGTAAATTAACACTATTATTTATTATTATATATATTTATAATTCTCGTGTGAGACCTAATTCCTAAGCTCTGATACCACTCTAAAAAAAAACCCTGACCGTGATTAAGGAATAATATCACACTAAATTTACGATAACCTTCCTTGTATTATTATATTCTGCGTACGAGTACATAATCCTCACATGATNCCTGACCGTGATTAAGGAATAATATCACACTAAATTTACGATAACCTTTCTTGTATTATTATATTCTGCGTACGAGTACATAATCCTCACATGATCATTTCAAATATTCTTGATACAACATAGAGAAAAATAATAATAACAGATTCAATCCATGGTTCTTTTAGCCTATCCTCCGACCTAACTTTATATATCTGAAAAATGTTAGATAAGGATGAGCTCACCAGCTCAGTAGGATAATGTTTATCAATGACTACTAAGATTTTAAAACAATGCATAATATAATTAAATAACGGATAAATGCAAGAATAGGACAANAGAGAAAAATAATAATAACAGATTCAATCCATGGTTCTTTTAGCCTATCCTCCGACCCAACTTCATATATCTGAAAAATGTTAGATAAGGATGAGCTCACCAGCTCAGTAGGATAATGTTTATCAATGACTACCAATATTTTAAAACAATGCATAATATAATTAAATAACGGATAAATGCAAGAATAGGACAAAGTAATGAATTAAATAAATAAATAAATTTCAGCACATATCGATCATATCAATCTGTCAATTTTCAAGTCCACGCATGAACCGCCTCATGAGAAAAACTTTGGGGTCTTGCACCCTAGGGAACGCAATGTCCTTCTTGCTTTTCTGAAAATATCAATATCAAGAATTATGTGATGTTACACAGGCTACCACGGTAACCGATATTACTATCTAGTGAACCCAAAAACTAATAGGAATCTTGCGATCCTCGCAAGGGATCACTCATCTACTAACCCTCTGCCCTATATTATGTGCATTTATAGTAATTTCATCACAAAATAAAGTCATATCATAGTCAGACTCAGCAGCAAATCAAACATTAAATATTAATAATAAAAAAAATATTTATTATGCAACATGGTTTCNGCGATCCTCGCAAGGGATCACTCATGTACTAACCCTCTGCCCTATATTATGTGCATTTATAGTAATTTCATCACAAAATAAAGTCATATCNGTAATCCTCGCAAGGGATCACTCATCTACTAACCCTCTGCCCTATATTATGTGCATTTATAGTAATTTCATCACAAAATAAAGTCATATCATAGTCAGACTCAGCAGCAAATCAAACATTAAATATTAATAATAAAAAAAATATTTATTATGCAACATGGTTTCACAAGATAATTAGGATCTTGATAAAAATAAAAAATTAACATGTGCATGATCACGATTTATTTATAAAAGCCCAGTTTAACCCTATGATTATAGTAATATAATATTACATTATATAAAAAATAGATTTGATATGAAACCACCAAATATGCATGAAATGCATCAATGACAGTAAAAAATATAAGAAACCATACTTCTGCCTTAACTTCTACTCGATACCGTGTACTGTGACAAAATAACTAAAATAATATTTTAAAATAATAATAGGTAATAAGAGTNGTAATATAATATTACATTATATAAAAAATAGATTTGATATGAAACCACCAAATATGCATGAAATGCATCAATGACAGTAAAAAAATATAAGAAACCATACTTCTGCCTTAACTTCTACTCGATACCGTGTACTGTGACAAAATAACTAAAATAATATTTTAAAATAATAATAGGTAATAAGAGTTTAGTTAAGCTAAAATAATTTTTGGAATAATTAATGAAAAATAATGATATTTAAATTTGATCCAAAAATATTTAATGAGGATCAACTTTAAGAGACTCGAACCTATAAAGTTTACTAAATAATAATTAAAAAATCTTACCAAAGATTTTGATCGCAACAACGAACTCTTAGGTCAACAAAATTTGGACCCTTTTTTCCATCTTTACTGTCTTTCTCCCTTCCTTTCTTCCTCCCTTTCTCTCTTTTTTACTTGTTGTGTCGTTCAATGCCCTGGGCTTGGCTATTTATAGCCAAGGCTTGCTTGGTCCCCAAGCATCTCCTTTTTTCTTTTTCTTTTTTTTTCCGCTGTTCATGTCCTCTAATACTTATATAAGATATATATATATATATATCTATTCATTGAAACTTGACCTAAGTTATAGTCATTTAACTCGTTTTCATGTGAAGAATCTATATTTGGAGTCCATTGGTTCATAAAAGAAATTATTATNCCGCTGTTCATGTCCTCTAATACTTATATAAGATATATATATATATATTCATTGAAACTTGACCTAAGTTATAGTCATTTAACTCATTTTCATGTGAAGAATCTATATTTGGAGTCCATTGGTTCATAAAAGAAATTATTATTTATTTATATTTATATATTTTTTGAAAAAAATAAATCTCAATTATATAAAATTAAAATTGATGAACTAATTAACGTGTCAAGGTCTTTTCGGTAAGATTTTTCTTAAGAGGGTCTTCATGTCTGACCTTCGAGCATGAATATTGACGCTGNTATATAAAATTAAAATTGATGAACTAATTAACGTGATAATGATTTATGTATATATGGGTCATCACACAATTCAAGGTCTTTTCGGTGAGATTTTTCTTAAGAGGGTCTTCATGTCTGACCTTCGAGCATGAATATTGACGCTGGATGAAGCGTTTCCATGTAACTATATTGCACTATGTCTAGGGTCTCACCCAAATTCTCATGTCACATCCCTAAAGAAGGAGTACTCCCAAGTTCATGTTCTTGAATCAGTCCCCGAGAGGTTTTTGCCTACAATAGGACTGTTGGTGCTTTGGCGCTTTAGCCAAGCAAAGTCTTACCCATTTCTAGGGCTCAGAGCCCATCAAGTGTCTAATCACATAGGATTTTGGGTGCTTTGATCATGCAAAGACTTACCTGTGTTCAAGGCCTGATCCCGAGTCTCATGTCACCTCCTTCAACAAGGAGTACTTCCGAGTCCAAGTCCTTGAACTTATCCCCAAGAGGTTTTATGCCTACATTAGGACTTTTGGTACTTTGGCCGAACAAAGGCTTACCCACGTTCAGGGCCCCGAGTCTACTGAGTGCCTAGACATATAAGATTTTTGGTGCTTTAAACCCCCGAGGGAGAAAGGTAGTGTCAAAAAATTTACTCGCCGAGCACCTCCTTATAGTTAAGCGTTAGCATTGCCTTTGTCGGAGCGAAAGAAGACCCACTTGTGATGTGTTTAGCTTTAACATAAACTGAAATAATTCTGGATCAGTTCAAATTCTAAACGCCGAAGAGCTGGGTAAAGCATTTTCCCTTGCTCGAGTGTGTTACGCTCTCTCAGATTATGAGAACCCTGCTTAACTGCTGTCGAAGCCGAAGGAGTGCTAATTGCAAATGGACATTCAACAGAGGAGACTTATCGAGGTATTTTGTCTAGAGGCAGTGCCAACCATTACTTAATGATGGGATGACTAGCCAAAATATTATGGGTCTGATAGGTGATGCTGAGAACTATAGTTGAAATCGACTACCCGAGAGGCCCTTGTCCTAAGAACATGTGGCTTCGGGACATGCCCCCCACTCTGAGCAATCCCCCAATGTGAGGAAAAAAATAATGGGGCTTTCACAGCCGAGCGGAGCCAGGATTTTGCCAAGTTCGTAACAAATGAGATAATGGACTACATATAATCAAAATATAATCCATAAATTCAAAATATAATCTAAACTAAAATTTCAAGGAATCAATTAAATCAATTTAATCATAGGGAAGAAAAATAGTACTAACCAATAATCTCAGATAGCTAATTTGAACATGAACTTTAACAAAAATTCAAAATAGTTAAGTGGTGACCCAAGACGAAACAAAAAAAAACCTACACAAGTCCATAAATATTATACCAAAAAATCATCAATTCTACAAGAGTTAAACTAATTTTCTAATATAAAAAATTTGATTTTTGATTAATGCTAATACTACTATCAAAAAATTTGGTTAATGCATTACCTCTCCTTAGCTTCAACATAATCTTCTAGGGTTTTTTCAAATTTGTTTTGCACAATGATTGAATCCAATAGGGTGATTTGTTGATGAATACACCAAAGGAAATAACAAAAAAACTAAATAAAAGAAAGAAGAGGGGTTACCGGTTGGACTGAACTGGAAGTCTGGACAAAGAAGACGAAGACTTATGGAAAAAAAATGCAGGCGTGAAAAAGAGCTACCAAAAGTTAGTTTTTAAGGATTTAAAATTATATTAATATACCTTATACTTTAAAAAAAATTAAGTGAGGTAAGTTTAAGAAATTTTTAAAATTTTTAAAATTACACTAAAATCCCAAAAGTTTTTAAAATTTCAATAGAGGCAACTGCCAGGCATGAAAAATGAGGAGGAGCCACCAAAAGTTAGCTTTTAAGGGTTAAAAATTATATTAATATATCTTATACTTTAAGAAAATTTCAGTGAGACAAATTTAAGAAATTCTTGAAATTTTTAAAATTACACTTCAATCCCAAAATTTTTTAAAATTTTAGTGGGGCAGCTGCCCGCATACTAAATCCGCCACCGACAGCCGAGATGTCTTAATGATGCCGAGCAGTTTATGGGCCACTGTAGACCATCTTCCAAGTTAGTTATTGTGTCGGCCAACAGATTTTTCAAGCTATGCTTCATGGAAATGGAGATGATCCAAAAAGGAATCTTATGAGGTTGTCTCGAACAATTGCAGTGATGATCATCAATGATGCTCAAAGATGAGACCGACCACCTAACAAGCTGGAATCAACTAATGATGCCGATTAGAGACCTCTCTAGAACTGCTTGAGGTGATCAATGTTGGCCAGTATGGGTTCGTGGTGTTGATCACGGTGGATGAGTGATTCACGGCTTTTGAGAGGTTTATAGCAGTGTCCGGGGAATGAGACCGAGCTTCGACACCTGTGGATGATAGGCCGAGCAAAGTCTCCTGCCCATAGGCGAGATGGAGCATCAATTGAAGATGGACAGATTATTTCACGTGCCGAGCATGCTCCCTCAATAGATGGTACCACAATCTCTTCGTAGGCGCATTCCTCGCATTTTCAAAATATGCTCGTGTTTAGGCCGAACATGGTCATCCTGTGTACGCCGAGTAGGCAAAATTTTCATATGATCCTATTAATATTTTTCTATTACTATATTTTATTTTTAATTATTATAATTTTTTTTGTTTTAAAAAATTATTTTTTATTTTTTAAAAAATTTAAAATATTAATCAAGTTTTTATACTCAAGTTTTGAAAATAACTTTTTTTAATAGATAATATTGTTAATTCATTCATTCTTAGTTGATTGGAAATAAAATTTTATCAATTTAAATTTTGAACAAGTAATCTAATAATATAATATGTGAGCAAAAAATAATTTTAAGATAACAAAAAATTATTTTTTACCCATGAGTAATGTGCACGCACGAAGTATAAAACTTTAATAACNTTTTTACCCATAAGTAATGTGCACGCACGAAGTATAAAACTTTAATAACATAGACAATTTAAGTACAAATTATTTAGATTGAAAATTTATATTAAGACAAAAAAAAAACTAATTTTATAAATTTTGACCATAAGANTCTAATAATATAATATGTGAGCAAAAAATAATTTTAAGATAACAAAAAATTATTTTTTACCCATGAGTAATGTGCACGCACGAAGTATAAAACTTTAATAACATAGACAATTTAAGTACAAATTATTTAGACTGAAAATTTATATTAAGACAAAAAAAAAACTAATTTTATAAATTTTGACCATAAGAAATAATAAATATAAATTTTCTATGTGATTGAGTGAAATATAACTATAAACACACCCAAAATATTTAGAAAAACTTAAATCGAATCTCACACGAAGAAGTAATTTTGGACCCAAAAAAATTAGGTATTGATTTGAACTATTAAAATTTAAGCCCTAAAAATTTGAATCAAATCTAAAATACAAAAAAAAAAAAAAAAAAAAAGATTATTATACTAAAGTGGTAAATTTTATGGATACCTCTAAAATTTGGGTTCAAACCAAGTTGAGAGTAATTTTGGACTTAATAAAATTAGATACTGATTTTAACTAATAAAATTTGAGCCCTAAAAATTTTAATCATATCTAAAATGTAAAATAAAACAGAAAAAATTAAACCTATTATACTAAAGGGATAAATATTATAAGAATTCTCCAAAATTTGGAGCCTACACAAATAACTTAATTGTGTAAGGGTTGGGCCGGCCCTGCTACTACCCACATTTGATAATAACCTGATCAATAGTTGGCCTTCGATGACAGATTGACATTTTGGAGCCTGACAGACCAAGAGCTCCTTGATGAGTGTCAGACCATCTAAGTGCCGAGGACATGGCACACGAATGCTAGACCGATTATTTAGCCGGCAATGAGAAACATGTTCTAGCTAGGTCCCATTGATAGCTTTCTTTGCCCAAATAGATCACAGCAGGAGATAAAAAGAACTCTATTTCGGGGGATGAACCGAGTCTTGAGAGTGTCGACTATAGTTGGGAATCGCTGCTCATCAAGAGAACCACACTGCCTTTGCGGCGAATAATCACTCTGTGCAGAGTCCGGGAAGTTGCTCAACTCACGCTGTCTCTTTATGATTATCGAAAGAGAACTCCGTTCAAATAGCGAATTTGAAAGATGTGTTGCTAGTCGAAAAGGACATTCATGAGAGGAGACCCAGCAAGGTCTCTTGCCCACTGCATCTGCCCATTTATTTTCTTTTACTTATGCCTACGTCTTTCCCAGACTCCATGTGTGGAGATATATGGAAGATACACATAGAGGGAGCTTGACGGCGTATGTAACGTGGACGAGCAGAATGTATGAATATGTGAATGAGTTCGGAACTGAGCTTCTAAGCTCAAGGGGATTATGCCAAGATTCTTGGGGGCATGGCATGATTTGCACAGTGAAAATACTCAAAAATTCGGCTAATCCATTCTTCAATAGAGTCTCTTGCTTCTTAGATCTTTATTGATGGTCTATGCGATTTACAGACTATTTTTGATACAATTGGGATTGCTTACCCCATAATAGAGACACTGTACAATATTTATAGTACAATTCCCAATTCTGTGGGATCTGTGGCAAGATATCATTGTCTCCTTCCCGTAGTATCCTGCTTGATTCTAGGTGACAATTGCGGTGGTTAAAGGATTTTGTGCTTAAATTAGAGCTTGTTACCATTGGGGGATGTCTCGTGACTGTCAATTGTCTTTCATGCATTCTCTTCAGAATACAGGTTGGGAGGGTCCCAGATGTGGATTGTCGAGCTCAGAATCTCCTAGTTGAGCTCATAATTAGAATTTCTTCTAGGTATCACCAGCATACTTAGAATTTTTTCTAATCATCAGAGCCCAAGCTCCATATGCTTCGATGGATTTGCACATGCCTGTGGAACCAAGCAGCGATGAAGGACAGACCTTCACTTTGCATAGATTTTTGGTGATAATGCAAACCCACTGCTGGGTAATAAATCGACCAAGCACATGGACTTTCTGAGTCCAAACAAATGAATAATTTGTCTCTTGCCAAGTGGGTTTTAAGTAGCAGAAGATTATGACCTTCGTGCTTGCATAGGCACCCAGTCTTTAACATGACTTTGATAACGTGGCTGGCCAAGGCATCCTCAACTTTAGGCTATATAAACGCCCCATAATGATAGGTGCACGGAATAATTCCTGCAATAGTATGAGACAACAATCTCCCAGCTGGCGAACCTGAAATAACAGGGTTAGAAAAAAGGAGGTCAGGCGAGTGCCTGGCTAATCTCCTCCGAAACTTAAGTTAATATAAGGTCGAAGGATTTTGCTCAATGAACTATTTTTCTGATTCAAGTTTGCATACCTTTGTCCATTTTTCTGAGGAGTATTTATACCTGAATTAGCAATGATTGCCAAAGATCTCCAGTCTCATCTGGACATCTTACATCTGACACACCATTCCTCGTGTAATGAGTGTTTTCTACTCACGTCTCTTCTTATTGAATGCTAGGAAAATGGGATAAATGCTCGGCCAAATGTCGAGCATTTATGCCACTCCCCGAGTACCCAAATCCCCTAGATCGGCATCTGACATCAACTGAGCATTGAATACTTGGGGAGAACAGTTCCTCAGGAGAGCCGATCGCGTCGTCTCAGCGCATCAACCATTAATGCTTAGTCATCATGATAGTAGACTTAAACTCCTAGAAGGCAGGTGCTAGCAGACGCGCATTTATTTGTCTTGTCACTATCACTCATTCTGTCATAAATGAGGGGTCACATCGCATTAAATACGATGTCAGCTGTCGTACTCAGCTGCTCCGTGTCACCATATCTCGGCTTACTTCCTCGGCACCCTTTGGATATCCGAACGATTTCATTATTCCACATGTCAACCCGGGGGCTGTAGAGCCACCTAGAGTCCCGCCAACTGCCCCCCAACCGTCATCCTTTTCGTAGTGTAAGACAAGTGGCGTAAAGAGATTGGGGGCTCCATCATCACACCTTATTAATAGCGACGATTACTTGCACGTCTGGTGTCGCCCTTTTCAATTGCCCTAATGATGACCCAACATTTCGATTCCCGCTCCCTGTAAGGCAGTATAAATAGGAGGTTTTCATACCTTCTCAGAACTTTTACATCCTCAACCTCTCTTCAGCAATCAGACCCCGAGTGCTCCTCTGTTCTCTTCCGAATTTCCTTCGTCCTCCGAGCTCTCTCTTTGAAGACCACCTTCCTTTAAATACTTCCACTTGAGCTTTTTCTCTCTTTATTTCCTCTACATTTCATCCTTTTAGCGTCCATCAATGGCTAAAACTAGTAGAACCAGAGGGAGACGTCTGTTAGGGCTAGTACTACCCACAAGATGAGGAGAACTCAAGTAACTGATAAGAATATTCAATCCTTTACGGTTAAGTACCACATCTGTGACCCTGTCTTTGTTTTCCCCTTCGACCCCACTTACCATAGGAGAGATATGAAAAATATGGACATGATGCCTTTCTGGATGAAGGCCATCATGGAGTGAGGGTTGACCTTCCCCCTCCATCCCCTGTTGCTGGGAGTGTTGTTGTAACTGAAGCTCTTTTCCCTTCAATATGTGGTTAATTTCTTTAGGATTGTGATGGGCGTAGTCGCCTTAAACGCTTGGCTGGAGACCAACTTAAGAGTAGATGAAATTTTATTCTGCTACGACCTGAGACTAGTTGTCGGGGGGCGATATTACCTCCAGGCTCAAGACGCCTCAATGTATCTGGTAACCTACATGCCCGACTCAGACAAGGGTATGTAGACAATCTAATCATGCTCGGCGAAAGTTGGGAGAAAGGAACTGGACCCGAGTATGACGGATTGTACTGCCCCAAAGTGCCGAGGGATGAAGGTGTGTTTTCNTAATCATGCTCGGCGAAAGTTGGGAGAAAGGAACTGGGCCCGAGTATGACGGATTGTACTGCCCCAAAGTGCCGAGGGATGAAGGTGTGTTTTCTTTTCGACTTCTTGATTTTGCTATTCTTGGGTCTACGGGACGCACTGATTTTGCTTTGTTTTTGCAGAAGGATATCGTCGGGACGCTGCTCAACCGTTGAGGTCTCAAGTCCAATTTGCTGACCTGCTAAGGGTTTGGTCCTCAAACCTAGTTGAGCGAGCGGTGCATATCTCCTCTACTACACGCCGACTTATAGTCAATTCTTCCAGATCCCACCTCCTTTCAACCCTTCTGTTTGGGAAGACCATTCCTTGTTAGAAGAGGAAGAATTCGAGGGAGATTCCGAAGAAGAGTCTGATCATCACGCTCCTGAGCCTCTTGCACTTGAAATATTTAATCTGCCACCAGTCACTGCTGCTACAATGGAGGTCGCCGCCACGGCAAGGAGAGCCAGGCTCGCCGGGTTGGCCAGTCCTTCCAACACTATCCCCATCATCCCCCCGCCTAATTCTCTTCGGAGGCAACCGCCCCCATCACCGCCGTGTACGCAACAATCCAGGGACCTGCCCGTGCAGATTAGGCAAAGGCCCCAATCTCAACAAGTCCCCGCTCCAGGAGACTGGCTGAGGGATAGGCATGCCCGGGACGCCAAATAATCTGATGAGCGCCGTGTGAACCGGCGGCATGATGCCCCGACCCCGAGCCCGTCTGTCTGGGTTACTTGGGCCGAGACCAGGAGCGGCCGCCCTGTTTTGGAAGCCGACTCTATCCTCCAATCTCCCGAAGTGGCGTTTGTCATCGCGGGGACACTTCAATTTGATGTCGATATAACCATGTAGAAAGGTTACTCGAACAATCGGCTTCTGATGAACACTACCCAAAACAACCTGGTGGTAAGTTTAACACTTTCTCGAGTATTTCTAGCACCCTTTTGGTCGTTTTCTAATATTCCTCCTTTTTCAGGCCAGTCAGCCAGCAAATGGGTGCCATAATTGAACATTTTTGGGAATATAAACAAGAGACAAAGAACGCCGAGCGAGCCGTAGCTGCTAAGGATGACCATATCCTTAAGGTCGAGAGGACCCTCGGCGACCAAACCAAGCGCATCACCAAGCTCATCTGCCACCGAGACATTGTTCATGTCGAGCTGGAAAAGACCAAGGCGGGTGAAGCTGCGATGATAAAGAAGGCCAAGGAGTACGAGCTGCAAATGGCCTCTTACGAAGCCAAGTTGCAAGAGTCCGAGTCTGTAATCAACGTTCTTACTGTCCAAGTGGACTCCTTGATAGCAGAGAAAGCGGGGGAGCAGGAAAGGCTGCAATCGAAATGTCAGAGGGTGTAGGCGGTCATTCAAGACCAAATGGTCCCTGCTTTCTAGGAAGCCAAAAAGAAGGCTTTCAAAGAAGTTTGGGATGCCGCCCTTCACGCCTGCCAAATCGAGGTAGGCTCGGACTTGTTCGCCATGCACATCCTTCGAAGGGAGGCCAATGACGAAGTCTTGGACGAACAGGTCCGATCCGACCTAGGTGACCACATGGAGGCAGAAGGGCCAGTCGGGGCTGAAGGTGAAAACGAACCCATCACACTCAGTGATAGTTCTGACCAGCCTTTTTTTGCCCTTCCGTCTTTGCCACCTACCAAGCCAACAGATGATCTGCCCCCTCATTCACCCCCATCATTACTGGGGTGCATGATACCGAGCTAGATGAGATATTAGAGGTTGGAGACGAGCTACAAAGGCGGTGTGGAGGCCTCGACATGGGAGGACCGGGGAGGAATGAGTCGAGGGCCCTAGCAACTGGTGGCCTTAGTCACTTCTATATTCCATATTTATTTCGTAGCTCTTTGTAGCTCTTCTTTGTACAGAATTTAGTTACTGTTTGTATGCTTGGGGACGCAAAGTCCCTTTTTGATTTGCAATGAACTTCATTTTTCTACAAGTGTCTTTTCTTTCCTGCATCAATCGTGTTTCAAGGAAATGGCCTTGACGTTACGTCAATAAAGACCTTCTGAAGTAGCAAGGCTTCACATCGAATTCATAAAAGAAAACGCGTCGAACTTGTTGTTGGGTCTTTGGACCCCTCGAGGCCGATTATATATGGAGGTGGACTCTTACACCCCTTGGGGCCGTATCCCTAACGATCGAGCGCCTGACTCGTGTTAGTAATTTGAAGGCGTTGCTCCAAGGGTGGAGTCTTACACCCCTCGGGGTCGTACCTCTAACGACCGAGCGTC